TACTATACTATTTAATACAAGTATCCGTAATGGTAATTGTGAGAATGATACGTCCCTTTACGCGTAATTTACATTCTAAACTCTACGCGATTACAAAACTAAGACTAGAAAAAGTATAGGTTGCAGTAGATATTAGAGATGCTGTATTAGGTAACCTTAACACCTTAACATACGTAAGTAACAAAATCCTAGACTAACCAAGATAGATGTTGAATTCTGTATCCTGATGATACTTTGCAACTAAATGTACATATAAGCAGGAGATTTCGTCTTCGAAGTTAAGTTAGTCGTAGCTAATCTGGTTCTTGGTGGAAGATGTAATTTATTCTCAAGATACGGAAGTCTTTGCTTAAAGTTAGACGCTTTATCACACAGTGATGCTATTACAAATTAATATCATATAGAGTTCAATGAAGTTAGTAACTTTATTGCAGTAGAAACGAGATTGCATCTAGGCTGTAGAATCGACAAGAACTATTTACTGCTGAACCTTATCAAAATTACCCAAACTGATCGCTAACGAAGATTTTTTACTGATACAACGAAAAATCGAAAAGGATTATCACATTGCAGTGCTTTCAGCTAAAATGCAGTAGTTTTGTGTAGGGCTAATAAGCCTGGCACTACACAGTACACATGTGCTAAATTGATCGTCGCATCTCATTTATCTTTACTACCGGCTTTTCAAGAAAGCGTTTATAAAATCACTTCATCACCTATGCATAATGCATAATTTTAATCCAAAACTAGTAACAGTATATTTTCAGTAAGCTACAATGATGCAAGCTTGGATCTAACTGTATACTAAATAGCTTATTCAATAAGTTGAAAAGAGTACCATCTTTTCTCTAGTTAATTGCATCATTTACTAACACTGATGAATCAACTTACGATATAGTAACTAGAATCTTTTCGAAATGCACACACTTTAAGGCGCAACACAGTATAACGTGCATAAGTAAGTACTTTTATTGGCCATTATCCCCTTCAACTGTACATACTCTGTCAGTCATTGTAAACATATGTCGATATTTTTAAAACTTAGATAATTGTAAATTGACAAACTTGTGTAACAACATTTCGCACATTCAAAAATTTCGTCATTTTCACCTACAGTGCAGAACCGTACTTTGCAATACGAGATTTGCTGCAATCTTGCAGAGTAAACTGAATTATTTCTTTACAATCATCCGTTTTTCAGTAGTCTCATTTTGCTATCGCTATTTTACAATTTTCTGCGAATGCTTTATTTATTTTTAAATATGACCGTCTGCAATCGTTTGAAGTTTGATCGTTACAAGTACTACCAAAGCGTAAAAAGCCAAATTCTGTTCAGTAAAATGTGTTTTGTAACAGTCTTCTTTGAATTAAAGTATATTTTTCAATAAGTTCTCACACTCTGTATTTTTAAAGAGAATATCTTGCTGTTAGTATAACAACATTGAGTTAAGTAAATCACACTATATTAGAATCATTTAAGCCAAAAGACTACATACTTTTAACGTTTAACGATGTTATAATACTTTATAAAAATGTTGAGCGCTTGCATGCATAGTAGCGAATGAGATTATACTTTGGTTTCTTTAATGGCTGATGATACTGTATCTTTGTAATGTCGATTCAACTCTAGAACCCGGAAGTCGATTTAAAGTCTCTGTCGATTCTAATGAAACTGTTGAGATAGAAATGGACGAACCTGATTCTTGTAAGTTGTACTGTGGCTAACATTTTTTTACTATTTTAAGTGACAATACAGTAAAATCTATCGCATACTACAATAGCAGCGACTTGCCTGATTTGTAAGATGGAGTCATTTAATTGGTTTGTATAGCAAGCACTTTCAACAATTGCAACTTAGAAAGAGGAATATTCTTGATTTAGTGTAGAGAGAATCGTTCATTCTTGCTACATTCAATTTTCTATTAACTGTTTCATATGATGTACCGTAAGTAGCCACTGATCCTATTTTTGCAAATAAAATAAAATTATTGTAGCAGCCAAGAAGTATAACAGCAAAATCGCAAAAGATATTGGAACGAAGTGGAAAACTTTGGCAAGAGAATTTGGAATTGATCAAGGCGACATCGATAAAATTATAGCTGAAAAAAATGGATCAGTTGACGATCAATGTGCGCAAATGTTGAGTATGTATGCGAGTAGGAAAGGTCGGAGTTACACAAAGAAAGCATTAGTTAAAGCACTCTTTAAAAGCGGGCTGCGTTCTGTAGCTGAAGATCATCGTATGTGTAAAGTTGTTTCTACATGTACACTTAACATATTGCCATAACATTATTGCCTAACATATTACCAATAGCATTAGTTAGCTAAGTTTGGTTGCAATATCCATGACTTACTTTTTCTACTGAAAAAAATACTTCTCGTATTCTGTCATACTGTATTATCATCAATAGCAGCATAATAAAATTACTTAAATAAATAAAATCATAAGCAATTATCATAAATCAAGAGACTTAATTTCTGAGCCTATAATTGCTTAATTGAGCTCTTATAACTCAATACTGTACTGTATTGAGATTAAAAATGTAGTAAACTCTTTATCAAATGCTCGAGTAGTCAAGCTAGAAAATATAAATACTGGATGGTGTAAAATGATAAAAATAACCTTTTCTATCCGGTTGGCAAGTAACTAAAACAACGTCATACTTTGGAAACTAATCTTCACTGGAAGTAGTGATTCGTTATAAGAAAAAATAATTCAAATTGAAAGTTTCAAAGGGTATAGAAAAGTCATTCAAAGGCTAAGAATAAATGTGCTATGAGAGTGATTATTTCTTTTTAAAGATTTAATCTTTGTGTAGGAATAATTGTTGTCAAAAGAAAAAAATGTAGACCAATACTCTTACAACATCGCTAAGGCAATGCCATAAGCTAAAGATCGTATTCAAGGCAGGATTTTCATATCCATTCAAACTAGTTAATCTTTCCATCTTCCTTCAAGTTTGGTATACCAACTTCACTAAATTTTCTTGACAACTATGTTAGCCAAGATTTGCTAGCAGTTTTGATCAGGAATTGAATCCACGGAACTACTAACATTAACAAGATATCAAACTTATACTGTAAGTTAGAGGTAGCTAGCAAGGCACGATTTTCACATCCATTAATAATAATTGACCTTACCATCTGATTTTAAATTTGCTTTACTGGCTTCATGTCATTTCCTGAAGACTAAAGTTAGCAAAAATTAATCAAATAGTCTTGATTAAGAGTTGAAGCCATGGAACTACTGTATAAGTCATGATAACCAATTGTGACAGTAGCTAGTGTGTGAGTTCAGCAGTATGAGCTAATTAAATAATAAAAATCAAGATTTTTTACTAGTAGGCCATGTTGAGACCTAAAATTCAATGCCTATAGATACTCAACCACAGAGGATATTTACGCATGAAAAGATACAAAGACAATATCAAATACTTCAATCCTCTCACACAATTCTTCAACCATGAAAATCTATGGTCGGACAAGCAGTTAATCCTATATGAAAATCGATCTAGTTTGAATATTTATAACCCCCAAACACTACAGCTACAAATCACTCTACCATTCCCTCACTTCCGGATATGGGATATGCAATGGAATCTTCAACACTCTCAACTCATCATCAGGAGTAGAAAGGATTACTGCTTAGTAAATCCAATGAAAAAGGAATAATATTTGCGTGAAATGTAAAGCTAATCTTGTATCTTGTACTCAGTGCAATTTAACGAGAGTGTCAATCAACTAAGTTAATATTGCTTCCATAATCAATGAAGATGATTGATGTGTATACTGTACAAATGGATAAAGTATACCCCCAATGTCAGTAAAACCAATACCCAAATATAAATATAGCAAAGCATGATTAAAAGTAGTGTAGTCTATGTCTCGTCTATGGTCAATGCAATTGCTGAGTTAGTTTAATGTCTATTACAAATCGTAGTCAAAGAGGGACTTGAAAGAGAAAATGAAAAACATCTGTAACAAAACATTGGTAAAATAGGAGGAGAACATAAAGATCAACATAGGGATGGAGAAAATGGATTGCAAAATTGCAGCCTATCTATCATTAAGCATCCCATCTAGTCTAAAGCAAATATTGATGACAGTCTTGTAATACTGTAGATGGCGATCTCTTCAGCTCTTAATAAACTAAATTAACGTCACTTCTATCCATGAAGATGATAGATGTGTGCTCTGTACAGATGGTTAAAGTATACCCCTAATGTCAGTAAAACCAATACCCAGAAATAAATAAAGCAAAACACCATTGCATATTCGTCCATGGGGAGAATGCAATGGTGTAGTTGGTTCAATTCCAATTATAAATGGTAGTGAAAGAGAGATTTGAAGAGAAAACGAAAACATTTGTAAAAAGATTTAGGATTAAGATGAAGGTAAAATAGGATGAGAAAATAAAAATAGGGATAAAGAAAATGTTTTGCGAAATTGCAGTCGATCATGAAGTAAACCCCCAAAAGTCAGTTTAACCAATACCCAAAAATAAATCAAAACAAAATTATTAGTATTGCAATCAATGCAATTGTGCAGCTAGTTCAATGTTTATTGCAAATTGCAGTAAAAGACGGACTTGAAAGAGAAACAATCTCAGCAAGTTCTTGGTCAAAATAACATGAGAAGATAAAATAGTCTGCTAGCAAAGGCGATCATGACTGGAAGGGATATTGCCAACAGAAAATCGTCTTACCTTGTTGTCCATGTTGTCTTCCACTTTTTCCCGACCCCAAAGGCGAGATTGCCTGCTTTCATTCTCTTTCTCACCTTGCTATCCACAGTTTACAAAGTAAATTAGTGATTTCAATTAGAGCCAAGAAAAGTTGATGGCGAGCATGCAGTAAGCAGCGTGCCTGTGCGATACTTTCTTAGTCCAAGTGAGGTTACTCGGTTGATATCTTGCTTATAATATTGTCCGCTGTAGACTCCATTCCTACTTCTATAGGGTGACAAGCTATTTTGCACAGTAGCTTGCAGCGCCGACTCTCTACTTAGTCTTCCTCTTCTTCTACTGCCTTCTACACGTGAAATGGCAGTCAACCATCAAACATCTTTTTTTCTCACTTTCTTTTTCCATACTACAGATTTCTCTCTTATACTTATTAATCTGTGCTTTTGACAGATATTGTTGGGTGTTAGCATTGTCATCTTGCTTAGCAGGTAAGTCTTTCAACAAGTTAAAGCAATCTTAATCGATATCATTTTAAACGCAAACCCTAACATTATTGCAATAATATAATCGTCCCTTTATCGCCATTAGACCTATAGTTGACATTTTGGGTTGTGAACTGAATTTCTCTTATACTTGTTAATCTGTGTGTTTTATAGATATTGCTGGGTGTTATCCCTGGACAATATCCTGGATTATCCCTGCACGGTCATCATTTCTGGTGTTTACTAGCACTAGTCAATCGTTTCACACTTTGTACCATGTTGACTTTCATGCTGAAAAATAGTGATGAGTTAATAACTGGTTTGAAAATGGAATTGCTCAAGTACGGCCAAGTTTTGATTAAAATCATTACGTAATTTCATTTTGTAGTCGCTTCAATTAACGTTACTCAAGATCTTTAATAAATCAATTGCTGCCACTTATACAGTCCGTTTTTCCTTATTAGCTATCATCCAAATTTCGCCAACTTGCTAAAGTTCATAATCAATGTAAAGATAAACACGAGTACCTGCATATCTAGTTGCCATTTTCGATAGAATGT